AACTTATGAATTTATCAGTAGCTGCAACTGACAGAAGAAGCAGAAAGAATTGCTAGTCACTTTTTTTAAAAAAAGTGTTCTGACCATTTATTATTTTTTTAAAAATTTTATTTATTTTGAAGGCAGAGTTACAGAGAGGCAGAGGCAGAAAGAGAGAGAGAGAGAGAGCTTCTTTCTACCGGTTCACTCCCCAAAAGGCCACAGTGGTTGGAGCTGGGCTGTTCCGAAGCCAGGAGCCAGGAGCTTCTTCTGGGTCTCCCACGTGGGTGCAGGGGCCCAAGGACTTGGGCCATCTTCCACTGCCTTCTCAGGCCATAGCAGAGAGCTGGATTGGAAGTGGAACATCCAGGACTCCAGTCAGCACTCATATGGGATGCTAGCACTGCAGCTTTACCCTCTATGCCACAGCACCAGCCCCCCCCCCCCCATTTGTTAATGTTTTAGAAAAATTATTTTATTTATTTGAAAGGCACAATTACAGAGAGAGAGGAGAGGAAGAAGGAGGGAGAGAGAGAGTGATTTTAAAGCTCTTTCATTTTCCAGATGGCTGCAACCCCGGGGCTAGGCCAGATGGAAGCTGGAAGCCAGGACCTTCTTCTGGGTCTCCTACTTGGGTGCAGGGGTTCAGGGACTTGAGCCATCTTCCATTGCTTTCTCAGATGCATCAACAGAGTGCTGGATAGGAAGTAGAGCAGCTGGACTCAAACTGGTGTCCACTTGGGATGCCATATTGCAGGCAGTGCCACAATGCTGTGTCACCTGCTATGCCACAATGCCAGCCCGGTTTTTTGTTTTTGTTTTTGTTTTTTTTCATTTTTTTTAAGATTTTATTTACTTACTTGAGAGAGAGGGAGTTATGGACAGAGAGAAAGGTCTTCATCCACTGGTTCACTCCTCTAATGCCTGCAACAGCTAGAGCTGGGCCAATCAGGAGCCAGGAGTTTCAGGTCTCCTACGCAGGTGTAGGGGACTAAACCCTTGGACTAAATTCTACTGCTTTCCCAGGCCATAGCAGAGTGCTGGATGGGAAGAGGAGTAGCCGGGACACAAACCAGCACCCATATGGGATGCCAGCGCCTCAGGCAGAGGCTTATCCCACTATGCCACAGTGCTAGCCCTCCTGTTTGTTATTTTTAAATTAAATTAAATTAAAAATTTTATTGAAGAGAAAGAACTTCCATCTGCTTGTTTACTCCCTTAATGCTCCCAGCAGGCCAAGGCTGGGCTGGGCCAAATCTGGGAGCCAGGAACTCAGTCCTGCTCTCTCATTTGGGTGGCGGTAACCCAGTTACTTGAGCTGTCACCTCCTGCCTCCCATGTTGCTCTTAAGCAGGAAGTTGGAATTGGGTGTGGAGCTGGGACCCAAACTCAGGTATTCCAATAAGGGCATTGAAGTGTCCCAAGAGACATCTTAATCACTAGGCCAGATACCTGTCCCTGCTCCTTTGTTTTTGTTTAAGAAAGTTGAATTTAACCTTGGTTAGAAGGGAAGTTCATAACGTACTTACAGAACGTAATGTAGTTACGATTCCATTTTGCACACAATCCATAAACTGATTGAAGAATTAATTTTTTTTTTTTAATTTCTTTCTTTGAGAGGCAGAGTTAGAGAGAGAGAGAGAGACAGACAGAGGGAAAGGTCTTCCATCTGCTAATTTACTCCCCAATGATTGCAACACTGGGGCTGGGCCAGGACAAAGCTAGGAGCACTGAGCTTGTTCCGGGTTTTCCACATGGGTGCAGGGGCCCAAGCACTTGGGCCATCTTCCACTAATTTCTCAGGTGTATCATTAGCAGGAAGTTGGATCAGAGTGGAGCAGCTGGTACTCAGTATGCCGGTGCCACAGGTGGAGGCTCAACCTATTGCACCACAGTGCTGGCTCCTCTTTGTCCTTTTTTGACCACTGTGATTTTTTGAAATTACAATAATTTCTTTAAAAAGAAGGAATGGTTGCTTTTAAATGGTATTTGGACTTGGCTTCGGATGACAGTATTAGATCTTTAGTAAGTAATTATGAAAGAAGATCTAGTTAGGGGGCTGGCACTGTGGTATAGCAGGTTCCTCCTCCTGCAACAGCAGCATCCTATGTGGGTGCTGGTTGGAGTCCCAGCTGCTCCATTCTGATCCAGCTTCCTGCTAATAATGCCCCTGGGAAATTAGCTGAAGATGACCCAAGTGCTTGGGCCCCCGCATTCACGTGGGAGGCCCAGAAGAAGCTCAGAGCTCCTAGCTTCAGCTTGGGCCAGCCCCAGCCATGCTGTCATTGGGGGAGTAAACCAGTGGGTGGAAGATCGATCTCTCTGTTCCTCTCTCTGTAACTCTACCTTTCAAATAAATAAAAAATAAGTCTTTAAAAGAAAAGATCAAGTATATTATTACATCATAAGTCTTGTTTTTGTTGCCTCATTTGTGTTAGTCATTCAGCCTCTAGATGTATGCTTTCCAGTACCATCACTAACCCCTTTTGCCTATTTAAATTTAAATGAATTAAGATGTATAAAATTAAAAGTTGTATTCCTCAGTCATACTGAGTGTTCCATTTTTAAGTGCTCCATAACTGCATGTGGTGGTGGCTACTTGATTAGGGACTGGAGAGAACATTTCCATCATCATGGAGTTTCTGTAGGGTGGTGATACTTGAGATTTTAATTTGCTATTCTTGAAATATTTATTTACTTTGTAAGAGTTATAAAGAGGGAGACATATGCAGAGATACCTTCCATCCACTGGTTCACTGCCCAGATGGTTACAATGGCCTTTGCTGGGCCAGGCTGAAGCTAGGAGCTTCATCCAGGTCTCCCAAGTGAGCGGCAGGGGCTCAAGCACTTGGGCCATCTTCTACTGCTTTTCCCAGGCCACTAGCAGGGAGCTGGATCAGAAGTGGAGCCGCAAGGACACGGACCAGCGCCGGTATGGGATGCGGTCATTTCAGGGGTTGCTTTACCCACTATACCATAGCACCAACCCTTTGATTGCTATTTGATATCGGGAAGTAACTGTCAGAAGTTTGGAACGGATATTTTAAAAAGAGCAAAAAGCAGATTTTATGCTGCTTGTAAGAACTTCAACCATTTAAAACTTAAATGTTGTTTGATATCTTTCATATTTAGTTTTGATTTTAGATTTATTCAGAAGTCATTATAATAATATAGAATATGCTGTGGCCTGGGAAAGCAGTGGAGGATGGCCCAGGAGCTTGGGCCCCTGCAACCACATGGGAGACTAGGAAGAAGCACCTGGCTCCTGGCTTTGGATCGGGGGCCATCTGGGGAGTGAACCAATGGAAGGAAGACCTTTCTCTCTGTCTCTCTCACTGTCTGTAATTCTACCTGTCAAATAAGTAAAAAAATAGTACAGGATAAAACAAAATAGTTATATTAAGAACTGTCTCGGGGTTGGCGCCGTGGTGCACTAGGTTAATCCTCCGCCTGTGGCCCTGGCATCCCATATGGGTGCCAGTTCTAGTCCCGGTTGCTCCTATTCCAGTCCAGCTCTCTACTGTGGCCCAGGAAGGTAGTGGAGGATGGCTCAAGTTCTTGGGCCCCTGCACCTGCATGGAGACTGAGAAGAAGCACCTGGCTCCTGGCTTCGGATCGGCGCAGCTCCGGCCATTGCGGCCATCTGGGGAGTGAACCAACGGAAGGAAGACCTTTCTCTCTGTCTCTCTCTCACTGTCTGTAACTCTACCTGTCAAATAAATAAAAATGTAAAAAAAACCCCAAAAACCAAAAAAACTGTCTCTGAGGTGGGTGTTTGACATAGTAGTTAAGGTGCTGCTTGGGACATTTTCCCATTTTGGAGAGCTGAGGTGCTTAGTCCTGACTCTGCTGCCTCTTCCAGCCTCTTCCTGATGGCAGCCTGGGAGACAGGTGATAGCTCAGGTGGTTGAGTCTCTGCCACCATATGGGAGACTTGGATTGGGTTCCCAGCTCCCTGCTTAGATTAGGCCATTGGGGGCATTTGGAGAGTAAGGCAGGGCATGGAAAATCTCCATGTCTCTTTTTGCTCTTTTTTTGCCTTTCAAATTGATTAAAAATTTAAAAAAGGAACTATTTCTGCCACACTGTTTTTAAAATCGTTCTATGAAAGCATACTTGATACAGAATAAAGTGTACCTATGTAAAATATGAAATTTAATATGTTTTAACATGTATACACCTTTGGAACCATCATCAGAATCAAGGTAGCATAGTCTCTGCCATACAAGTTTCTTCATGCTGCGGTATAATCCTTCCCTGTCATTCTTACCCACTCCATCTCCCACAAGACAGTCTTTGATCGGCTTTTTGTTATAATGGTTTAGTTTACATTTCTTCCAGTTTCTATAGATGAGAGTCATACTCTATGTACTCTTTTTTCCCCTTAGCTTCTTTTACTCACTGCATTATTTTGAGATTCATCCGTCTTTCATGTACAAATAATTCCTTAATTTTTAATCTATGGATATATTGCAGTTTATGATATATGGGTTGATTCCACTTTGGGTTATTACAAATAAATTGCTGTGAATATTTATGTACAAGTCTTTGTATTGATGTACATTTTTATTTCTCTTAAATAAATACCTAGGTGAACAGTAACTGTTGTATAGTAGCTTCTACGTTTAAGTCTTTAAGAAACTGCCAAACTGTATTCCAAAGTGACTGCACCATTTTATGTTTCTACTGACAGAGTATGAGTGTTCCGGTAGCTCTGTGTCCTTGTCAATTCTTGGTATGGCCAAAGGGTTTTTTTTTTTTTTTTTTAATTTTATCTTACAGCTTTAACAAAAAAGGACTATCCTGGTAGAATTAATTCTCCCAATCTTGGTATGTTTTGTTTTTAAAACGCTGCCAAAAAATAGTATTTTGTGTGTGAAAATATTTTATTGATTCACTTACTCTTATTTTTGATGGTGTTTGCTATAATTTGAAATGCTAATGATCATTTGAAACTCAATTTATAAGAAGCAATGCATTTTCTTCCTTTTTTACTTACATCTCTCTCTCTCTTGTTCTAGCGGCCCCTCTGTTGCTTTATGCTAACAGGCGGGACTTGCGATTGGTTGATGCTACAAATGGCAGAGAGAATGCTACAATTGTAGTTGGAGGCCTGGAGGATGCAGCTGCGGTGGACTTTGTGTTTGGTCATGGCTTGATATACTGGAGTGATGTCAGCGAAGAAGCCATTAAACGAACAGAGTTTAACAAAACTGAGAGTGTACAGAATGTTGTTGTTTCTGGATTATTGTCCCCTGATGGACTGGCATGTGATTGGCTTGGAGAAAAATTATACTGGACAGATTCTGAAACCAATCGGATTGAAGTTTCTAATTTAGATGGATCTTTACGAAAAGTTTTATTTTGGCAAGAGTTGGATCAACCCAGAGCAATTGCCTTAGATCCTTCAAGTGGGTAAGTTTTGTAATGTCTAAAAGTCATTGCCTCTCCTTTTCCTGGTTCCTCTCTCCTGACCTATACCCCAAAACCCCCCAAAGAAAAGAAAGATGAGAAATTTTAGACTCTTTGGGCTTCTTTGTCAAGTAGACTTGAACATGGAAAGCTTTATTGTGTTCTGAAAGTAAGGTGTTTCAGTAAATAGTCTTGTATTTTTAATACCATTTAGAACAGCCGGCTTTATAGTTCTTGCATTCTTGTCTGTATTTATTTTTTGTAATTATAAGAGTATAATTAGAAGGGAGAGTGAAAGAAATGAAGACTTAATAAGAGCTCAAGATGAGAGAAACTCTTTTAGATCTTACTACTTTATTATATACACAATCATTTTGTAATCTAGTGTTTTCTATATTAAACTCTGGAGTATTACTTGGTACCAGTGTTAAATGAAAAAGAAAAATTAAGTTGTTAACTCATTTCTAGATAGCTACACGTATAGTTGCAATGAAAGTTTATTTTCCAAAGAAAAGGAACACTTACTGCTCTGGATAAATCCCATTGCTGAATGTGAGCTGTGTCCGCACGTTGCTTCTCTGCTGCTGTGTCTCAATCCTCCTGTGTCACATTCCTTGATATTTTCTTAATGAATTAATTGTCATGCTGGAGTCTGTCTCTGCCATGTGTAGGTAACTGAACATGCGCCTGAATAAACTTCCTAATGTCTAATATCCAAAGATAATCTGTGAAAAACTATTTTAATATTTTGTTTTCTTTGGCTTTTACGTATATTGGAATGCTTTAAAACTCATTTCACTTATAGAAGTGAGTGGATTAATTTTATGTATGAAGTAGACTTGGGGAAAAGGAAAGAATGTCTTATTATATGTGTTTGTCTTATCAGCCTTGTTTTTTGGTGACAAGGGTTACAGAAGATGTATTATAGAAAAATGAAAAAAAATTGGTTATAAAAGGATGACATGGCCAGTAGTACGGTGAAATTTTCTGCTGAGATACTCTGGAAAGCACAACTATGTGGTTATTTTTTTGAGCAGAATTAAGAGGTATCTATTGAAGTCAGTTAAGAAATAAGTCACTTAATACAGTGCCAGAAAATACTTTAGTGGCTCTGGTGGTAGGAAGGGGTGTAGGTGTCCTGAGGAGGAGGTCTCAGGTGCTGATGTGTAGTAAATTGTACTGATCGAAGAATTTGTCAATATCTTTAAGGTATTTTTGAGAAATGGCATTTTCTCTTGCCAACAGTTTAAGTCTTGGGTGTTGAGATGTTTCTGAAGTTATTACTTTGTAGAGCACATATAATGTTTGTGCATTCAATTAAATGGTCATTAGGGAAAGAGTACTAAACAGTTCTATTGTTATTTTTCTTTTTGACAAGGTAACAAGGTAAGTCTTTTTTTTTTTTTTTAAAGATTCATTTATTTACTTGAGTGGCATAGTTACAGACAGGAAGAAGGGGAGAGAGAGAGAGAGAGAGAGAGAGAGTTAGTTCTTTCTTTGCTGATTTACTCCCCAGATGGCTGCAATGGCTGGAGCTGAGCCGATTGGAAGCCTGGAGCCAGGAGCCTCATCTGGGTCTCCCACGTGGGTGCAGGGGCCCAAGCGTTTGGGCCATCTTATACTATTTTCCCAGGCCATCATCAGGGATGCTAGATGGGAAGTGGAGCAGCTGGGACTGGAACTGGTGCCAGTATGGGATGCCAGTGCTGCAGGTGGATGCTCAATTCTTATGCCACAGCACGGCCTGAAAAGTTAAGTTATAACACTCTAGGAGTGATGGTTGAAATTCACCCATGTATCTATTAAATAATCAGTATTTCAGAGCTCTACATTTACTCTGGGGGAGAGGGTGTGGACCTTATAGATTTACTATCTACTTAAGGACAGAGAGCGTAGGAGAAATATTTGCATTATGTAGTATGTGTTCAGAGAGGGGAAGTGTGGAGCTAGAAAGGCCTGAGAGCTCTTAAGGAGAATGTGTGGGTAGATGACTTGATTACCACAATTCTGCAACAGCAAGGGATAATGATTATGTAATCGTACATATTAGAAGTATCTGAACACACATACATCTTTACTATTTAGGGTCTAATAATTTAGTGAATAAACTAATTATTCCTAGTTTGTCTCCTAAAAGGAATGAACTTTACCCTGGGTCACAGTTATGCTAAGTGTCTTAGGAAATAAGTTTGCCAAATGATTAGAGAGTATATTAAGTTTCTGTGACTTTATCCATTCCACTTTTCAATAATGATTGTGAGAATATGCCATGGTATTTAGCTTCTAAAGGTGGTTGAGTGAAGGATATCTTTATTTTGAGGCCTAAAAGTTTGGTCAGACATCCAGTGAAATATCTAGTTATTTCTGATGTTTATGATTAATGTAGAAATAAAAATAAATTCTCCTTTCCCCCTTAACAGATTTTCTCTTAACATTTAAAAAATTGGGAAGTTGTTTTGTATCATAACTTTTAAAATTTATATAACTGGTTTTAAAATTTATATAACATACAGTTCAGCTAAATGGTATACATTTGATAATTAGCATAATGGTATATACTTAAAGTTATATTTTAAACTTGTGCACTTAAAAATACATTCTGTCAAACTCTTTCAGTGTTACTGACCATAGATTTGTATCATGGATTGTGGTTTTAGTAATTATTAGGTAGGGTATATCAGTTGTCAAACAGAAGAGATGATTTCCAGATTTATTTTTGGGGGGAAATAGGAAGTTTGCTTTCCAGACAAAATACATGAAACCGGTGGTGAGGAACAGTGTAGACTGTCTGGGTTCCAGGATGCTGGGTTATGAGGTTCAGAGGAGCTGACTGAGCTCTCTCTCAGTGATTTATGTAAAAGGAAAGCTGTTGAATGACTGGTACTGTTTGAGCCCTGGGAACTAGGGCAGACATCTGTGTGCTCTTGGATGTATGGAGTCCTTTGTGTAATCAGTCCGTTTAGCTTAGACTGAAGGAAGATTTTTATTTCTCCCTCTAAATTTGGCCTCTGTATTAGGCTGAGGTTTATTTTCCCTCTTTGAATAGTCACTGACAGTGTAGATCTCAAACTCAGGAACAAGAAATGTGCATTCACAAATTGTTCCCCAGTCTGCTGCTAATGGTGAGGGTCCTTGGCTGATTCCACAGTGATTCAGTCTGTGGTGATGCTTAGCACCTGTTTTCAGGTGTAAATCTGAGTAGTTCCCAGGGGGTTTTGTTGATATGTTAAGGATTCTGTCATGTTTCAACTAATTTCAGGTTTTTAAAATTTTTTATTTAGTTAAACTCTAGTGATTTGGTTTGAAGTGAGTTCCTATGGAATAACTTTTTTAAAAAAATTTATTTGAGGCCAGCGCCACAGCTCAATAGGCTAATCCTCTGCCTGCGGCGCCAGCACACAGTTCTAATCCCGGTTGGGGCACTGGATTCTGTCCCGATCGCTCCTTTTCCAGTCCAGCTCTCTGCTGTGGCCCAGGAAGGCAGTGGAGGATGGCCCAAGTGCTTGGGCCCTGCACCGGCATGGAGACCAGGAGAAGCTCCTGGCTTCGGATCAGCGCGGTGTGCCGGCCGCAACGCACCGGCCGCAGTGGCCATTGGGGGGTGAACCAACGGAAAAGGAAGACCTTTCTCTCTCTCTCTCTCTCTCTCTCTCACTGTCCACTCTGCAAGGTGTCTGGCGCATAACAAATCTTCCCAGGCAGACGAATAAATTAATTTTCAGGCTTTTATTGGGATTCCGCTCCCAGGTGAGGTTCCCCAGTCCCAACAGAGCTTGGGGGAGGGGGAGTAGTCGCATGTCAGAGATTGGGAGAGCTCCTTTTATAGATTCAGGGCATGGGAGTTAAAGGTTGGGGTGGGTCTGATCCTCATTGGTTGACCTTTAGGCACCCGCAGGGACCTTGACAAGGACTTTTCTTCCCAGCAAGTACAGGTAGGGACTTCTCCATTCCAGGAAGTATAGGCCTTCCTTCCATGCGGATCCCAAAGCCACCACACTCTGCCTGTCAAAAAAAAAAAAATTATTTATTTGAAAGAGAGAAGGAAGAGACAGAGAGATCTTCCATCCACTGGTTCATTCCCTAGATGACTGTAATGGCCAGGGCTGAGCCAGGCCAAAGCCAGGAGCCAGGAGTTTCTTCTGGGTCTCTTACATGGGTAGCATGGGCCCAAAAACTTGGACTGTCTTCCATTTCTTTTCCCAGGCTGCCAGCAGAGAGCTGGATCAGAAGTTGAGCAACCAGGACATGAACCAGCACCCGTATGGAATGCTGGTGTTGCAGCGGCTTTACCCGCTACGCCACAATGCTGGTACATGGAATAACATTGAATAATATACTTTCACAATACATTTTATCTTTGTTAAAGTATAATAGTAACTAAAGCTGCTTGAAAAATGCTTACAGACCCACCTCAGTGGATAGAAGTGTGATATGTGGTTTCCTTACTGGTTTTACATACTAATCGTTGTGTCTTGAGTATATTCGAAAGTATTATCTATACTAGAACATCCAAGATGACTAAAATAGCTTCTGCTCCATAATAGGTGTTCAATAAATATTTTTGGAATGAATATATATATATATATGTAGTTTCTCATATACTTATTAGTATTCCTTGTTAAAGAGAAAGCATTTTTTTTTTTAAAGATTTATTTATTTATTTGAAAGGCAGAGTTAGAGAGAGGCAGAGGCAGAGAGAGAGGTCTTTCATCTGCTGGTTCACCATCCAAATGGCCCCAATGGCCAGAGCTGGGCAGATGTGAAGCCAGGAGTCAGTAGCTTCTTTTGGGTTTTCCACTATGGTGCAGAAGCCCAAGTACTTGGGCCATCTTCTACTGCTTTCCTGGGCCATAGCAGAGAGCTGGATCACAAGTGGAGCATCTGGGACTTGAACCAGCGCCCATATGGGATGTCGGCACTACAGGTGGTGGCTTTACCCGCTTTGCCACAGCACTGGCCCCAAAGAGATAGCATTTATAAACAATGTAAATTTTTTTTAAAAA